ATTGTTCTGTATGAGAAATGACAAGAAAGCTTGGTTGTGCAGAAGACATTGATATCTGTCAAAAGCTGTTACTACTGTCTGTTTGATCACTTGTTTAGGACGGTGAAGATAAGTTTATAAGCCTGAGGATTTAGGACCGCGTGGCTGTGCAGGTTAGAATGTTTAATTTTCATCACTTCATCACCTTACCGGGATTCGAACTCGTGTGTCCCGCATGAGAGCCCGACGTTGTAACAACTCGACCTGGCGCTGCTGACGTTGATATCGTTGGAGAAAATTAACTAGACACCGTAAAAACACCAACTCTTTTAAAAGAAGCAGCTCAAAAAATTTGACTGGTTATCAGTCAAGATAAGACATTTTAATAACAAGACAGGTAAATGATAAGAATTCAAATCACATTCAAATAGAGAGTATGAAAAATTAAACCAATGAAAACATTACCTTGGGTGCAAACTTTAACTGCTCCAATATACTAAGAGAAGAAATGCCCGGCTCACTAGCGTAGCTGGCTAAACCTGACTTCGCGACGACCGGGTGACGAACACTTTGTATTCCGGTTCACGCCCGGGGGTAGACAGAAAAGCAACATTTCTCACAGGTTTACGGTATTAGTCATGGAATCAAGGTCGAAGGGTTGCGATATCCATAGTACCGAGCCAAATGGTTAAGAACTCATGGCTTCTGGATATATTTAAAAAAAAAAAAGAAGAAGAAGAAGAAAGACAGTCTGGACATAAAGTATGCTATGCCCTTCAACATCTGTTAAAATCAAAGTCTCTGTCTCTTGACACAGAGATCAAAATATATAAAACACTTGTAAGATCACGTTTGTTTATGGCTCTGAAACTTGGAGCACAACTGAAAGAGATTAGCCTTATTAAACAATTTTAGACAGTCATCTTTGAGCCCATCACAGATGCAAACAGCAGGCAATGGCGAGTAAGAAGCAACATCAGAATTCATAATCTGTAAAAACCACCACTGATTACTGGTATCATGAAGGCTAAATGACTGAAAAGGCTGTGGCATATTGAGAGAATATGAGGACACAGAAAGGTAAAAACTGAGTACACAAGGAAGTTAGGGCATACCAAGCAGACCGTGGAGAAATTATATACATGCAGACCTGCAAACACTTGGAGTCACCTGCTGGAAAGAGAGAACAAATTATAGAGATGAAGGGAGTAGGGTTGTATCTGTAACAATGAACCTCAAAAAGCTCAAAATTGTTTGAGCTAGAACTGTTGAAAAAGAAAAAGACAGAGACATTATTATCACCATCAACTTCCGATTTTGATCAGTGGAAAGCACAGACTATTGTCTTTTTATGTCGAACCTTTTCAGCCGTTGTCAACAATCCATACTCTTCTTGGAGTTTAACTCTTTCAGTGAAAGGGAACTCACCATGCAATGCTGGAGTTGTCTGGCATGATATCCTTTTATGACCCCCCCCCCCCCCCCTCCCTGTACCCTTCAAAGCTGTACTTGTAACTCATTATATCACAACTGTTAGTTCAGTTTCTTTCGTCCCACAGTTTCATCTTTTGAACGCCTTCAGATTCAAACAATTATTACTTTAAACAACTGCTGCTTAAGATATGACGAGTCAAGGATACACATCTGGGACAGTTGAAAAGTCAGTAGTTAAACATAGTATAGTGAAGTGAAGTTAGGTGAAAGGGCTAACCTAAAGTACAGTTTAGTAAAACCAGGTATAAAAAAAAAGTTAATTAAAAGTAAAGCAAGATTAATTTCCACGCCCTGTGGTGTACTAAAAATAACTGGCACTTAATACGGATGAAGTCATTATTGGGGGGGGGGGGGGGGGGGGGCTGCCTTTACTTTTCAAAATAGTTCGCGTTATCCACTCTAGATAGTATCGACTTAGAGCACGCGTCAGTGTTTAAAATTCGCCTATTGAGGATTCCAACCTCTTAGAGTTGGGTGGTGAGTTAGCGATCTAATGACTTCGCTACTACAGCCTTATATTGGCATGAAATCCACTCAAGCATCACGCATAACGCTCAGTGACAACTGGCAAAGTTGATGAGAAGTGTATGGAAACACACACACACACACACAAACACACACACAAGACTTGTCTATAGCTTGGCCACATGGTATAACAGAGACAACAGCACTCACTAAGGTGATTAGAAGAAAATAAACGAAGGCCGATCACGCTTATCAGCACTGCACATCACGATGATGATAATGATTATGATAACGATAGATGATTGTATACATCGCTACACATCAGTTATCGTTTAACGTCAAACAGTGTTGCATGCTACTCATAAGGCATCAGCATTGCACCTGTGACATTGTTTTCTCCAGAGCGAGCCGCAGAACGTCGTAAACCATACAAACCTGATACTTCAAGAGCAGAACTTGCTGCATTTGATGCGCAACCGTCTTATCGCGGTAAGTATACTCCTACATGTATTGTTTTACTATAATGACTTTAGGGGGGAGGGGGAGGTGGGGTCAAAGAAGAACATGGAGTGACAACATTGAGAAGCGGACAGGACTAAATTACTGTGCTAGCGGGAAGAAAGGGGGGGGGGGGGGGGGGGACAGAAGAAGAGGAGAGATAAACAGGAGAAAATTATGATTAGGACAAAAGTAATAGTTCCCCGCTAAACAACAAAAACAGGAAAGTAAAGAAAAGAAAGGGGTTCTTCTGCGCAGAGATCCTATAATATTTCACTGAGACCCTAGCTATGAATATTTATATAATGAGTTACATGACGTCGACCTAACTACATGGGTACGCACACCTAGACGAACCACGGACTACAGATCCTAAATTGAATCAAGCATATGAGTTATGACAACATTAAACACCTGTTTGTTTTACTCAACATCAGCGTGATCCACGAATAACGTTAACAACAACAACGTGATCGACCATAATCTAAACATGAATCATCTCCAGCTAAAAAGGAAATATGATAATGACACCATACGCTCAGTGAGATTACCTCAACCATTGGCAAAAACCGAAACATATTTAACATGGGCGCTAAGCTACAATATGCCAACAAATCACGTATCGCGACCTGCCATCAAACTATCTCCTAGCAAAGATGCATAATGGGAATCACATCTAAGATTACCTAGCCAATTGAACGTACCGTGATCACGAGCCAGTCTAGCGTCGCTCAGCTAGTCCAATCTGACACACCTGTGCGTTGTGACCAAGTGCAGTCAACAACGACAAACAGGGTGCCTGACTGTAGCAAGCCGGAGCGACCGCCAGATAGAATGAGGCCGATAATCTGGTAACTGGTGTTGGTAAAAAAAAAAAAACGAAAAACTTCTTGCCTCTTTTTAAATGCCCAGTGGCCAGACTTTTCCAGATATTACTTTCTAAAGCTAATAGCTGTTTTGGTCATTTTCAAACCAGACTAAATCAAGATCTTCAAGCTGCTGAACTGTAGTCTTTTCCATCCTATTACATTACTATACAGAGAAACATGGCCTGTTTTGTGTGCTAATGCTTCTATCGATGCACCTCCACGACCCTAAATGGGTCAAGGGTTATGTTATGTTATACTACTATGTACAAGATAGTAATTATAGCAAGCACTACTAACTACTTGAAATGTGTAGTTGTTACTTTGTTTTGCTAATGTTTTAAAATTTAAAGATTGGTTTTAAATTCTAGGCTGGAGTCTTCATTCGCAAAGGCGATATAAGTTTTTTTTTTTTTTTATTGTATCGGGGAGGGGCAAAACATAAACCTGTGTAACAAACCCAGCTTGTGGTGACTACACTAGCCATGCGCTCTTAAACTCTCCGGATTAAGACACTGAAATCATCATCATGTGGCAGGTCTGGGCTAGGTTCATGTTAATCTCCCTAAATTAGGTAGTCAGTATGGCTGGTCGACTTTCCTGAAGAGTACGAGTGTGCCTTGCTCTGTTGTTTGCTTTCTGTAATGTCTTGCATTTACGTTTTCATTCAGAGAAAGAGAATGCCTATGACATAGGTTGCAGCACTCTCTAGGGGTGTTGTATTAGGACCAGTTTCTCCATGTTTTAGGAGTGTTAAAAGCGCTGGTGTGCTGAAATATACAACACACGATATCAACGGCATTGCGGAACACAATGTAACCTGGTGCCAAGGTGATAGGTTCTGTAACTATAAATCAGAGGACTGGGGAGACTAGCGTTACCTTTACCGCAGGTGTGCCTAAAGGAAAAACTCGGTTTTTCGTCATCTCCCACCTCATGCACTTTCCTACTCAAGGTTCTGTTGTATTCTGTGCCATCTTTGTTCTACTCAGCCTTTGTCCCTCTTTCCTGTCACCATGTCTTCTGCTACTATTCTTACCAGTCCGCCATAGAACTTGATATGGTTAAATTATTTCAGTTTCCGAGAAAACACTGCAACTTCTCTGGTAAATTTTGTACAGTCAGCATGCAAGGGCAGCTACAGAATGTCGTGTTGATCTACCAACTATGAGGCGCTTGTGTAACATGAGTGAGTACTTTATACTAACACGCTCTTGTGTCTTCTTTAGACGACTATCCAGAGTGGGAACTACCTAAGAAACACCACACAGAGAAACTCAAGTGGCAACCGCCTGATCAGCCCTTCGAAGGACAGACAACGAGCATGAATCATTACAAAGAGCACGAAGTAACTCCCAGAACTCAGCACAAACCAGATCATAAGTCAGTTGTTATACGACCATTTGTGTAGTCTAGTTTTAGTGTCTTTTATTTACATTCACTTTCCCTTTTAGTGTGTGTCATACTCTTATATTGTGACTGTGTTTTCTAGAGAAAACAGACTGTGATTATTTAAATATTGTGATTTTATGCTTACGAATAGCAGAATAACTTATTTTAGTATAAATCTATAAATAAAGCAGATACAAAACATAAGGTAGAAACGCAGGGATAAGAAGAAGGAGTGGGGGTAAACCCTGAAAAATGTTTTGAATATTTTAGATCATTATTTTATGGTTGCTGTTTTCTCGGTTGCAGATTAGTTCAGTCAGATGTCCCTTTCAATGCCAGCAGTGACTACAGAGACACGTACAGGGAACATCCTCTTCCTCCAAAGTCTCAGCGAGAACGAGAGCAGTGGACTAAACCTGTGGTTCCCATCGATGATTTAACCACCCAGCAGAGAGACTTTAAAGGAGAGTACCTGCCGAAACAGAAAAGTATGAAACCACAAACCAGTATAATCAAATCTGAGGCGCCGATAGATGGAGATACAACACATTCTATCACATACAAGCCTCATGATCTGCCTCAGAAATACAGACACGAGCCTCAGAAATACACACAGCCAGAGGGTTCCATGGATTTTAATACCACACACGGCATGCAGTTCACGGAACATCCTTTAGAGAGGCAAGGTTTATACAAACCAGGCTCTTCTGATATCCTAAAGGGATCTGGAGAAATGGTGAAGAACACAAATTACAATAAAGATTACAAAGAACATCCCCTAAGTCGAGTAGACCCGATAAAACCAAAGAATGAATACACACAGCCTACAGTGCCAATGGAAACACTAACAGAGTATCAGGCTGATTTTTATGGAAGAAAACCCGAGCCTAGGCAAGAATTTAAGCCAAAAGACACAAGAATACAATCCGATCAACCTTTCGATGACAGAACAGATTACCGAGACAAGTTTACTGAGCACAAGATTACGCCGAGGGAACAGAGACCAAGAGAGGTTTATATCGGCCCAACGGAACCTCTTGATGCGAGGACCACGGCTAGAGAAGCATACTTAGGGCCGTATCAGCCAAAAGAGAAGAGCTTTAAACCAAATAATGATGCCCTAAAGTCAGATGCACCTTTTAACAGCAGTACTGTAACAAACACAGATTTCAAAGAGCACAAAGTCAGCAGGCGAGAAGTCTACAAAGCCGGTCCTTACCAAAAACCTGAGGGCGATATGGATTTAATAACCAGTCATAATACGCACTACAAGGAACACGCTTTAGAGCGACAGAAAATTGAAAGACGAGGTTCATCCAATCTGTTAAAGGGAACAGGTGAAATGACAAGTAAAACAAATTATCAAGGAGACTTTGTAGAATACCCCATTGACCGCCAGAAAATTATTAAACCAAACAATGATTATCACCCGCCATCTGATCCGATGACAAGTGAAACAACAAACAGATCTCACTTTTTGGAGCATCAGCCTCAAGAGAGACACAGTTTCAAGCCAAAAGACACCAGAATACAATCCGATCAACCTTTCGATGACAGAACAGATTACCGAGACAAGTTTACTGAGCACAAGATTACGCCGAGGGAACAGAGACCAAGAGAAGTTTACATCGGACCAACGGAACCTCTTGATGCGAGGACAACGGCTAGAGAAGCATACTTAGGGCCGTATCAGCCAAAAGAGAAGAGCTTTAAACCAAATAATGATGCCCTAAAGTCAGATGCACCGTTTAACAGCAGTACTGTAACAAACACAGATTTCAAAGAGCACAAAGTCAGCAGGCGAGAAGTCTACAAAGCCGGACCTTACCAAAAACCTGAGGGCGATATGGATTTAATAACCAGTCATAATACGCACTACAAGGAGCACGCTTTAGAGCGACAGAAAATTGAAAGACGAGGTTCATCCAATCTGTTAAAGGGAACAGGTGAAATGACAAGTAAAACCAATTATCAAGGAGACTTTGTAGAGTACCCCATTGACCGCCAGAAAATTATTAAACCAAACAATGATTATCACCCGCCATCTGATCCGATGACAAGTGAAACAACAAACAGATCTCACTTTTTGGAGCATCAGCTTCAAGAGAGACACAGTTTCAAGCCAAAAGACAATAGTTTTAAATCAGATGCTCCTCTTGAGGACAGAACTGGATATAGAGATGCTTTTGTTCCACACCAGGTTACTCCGCGTGAGATGCGACAGAAGGGTGTCCACAAGCGGCCATCGGATCCTTTTGAGGACAGAACTACAGTCAGAGACTCGTACCAAGGTTCTTTTTTACCTAAGAGAGAAAGCTTTCGGCCAAACTTAAACACTATCAAATCCAATGCTCCATTCGATGGCAATACAACAACGAATACGGATTTCAGGGAGCATCAAATCCCAGAGCGTTTTAAACACAAATATGATTCTTACCACAAACCAGAAGGTGATATGGATCTGACAACTACACACAACACAAACTATAGGGAGCATGCACTTCAAAAACAAACAGCAATCAGACCAGATTCGTCAGGCTTGCTGAAAGGTTTTGGAGAAATGAGAAAAGATACCAACTACCAAGGTGATTTTAAAGAACACAGTGTAGCTAAAAGAGAGATGTATAAAGCCAAAAATGACTACAAGCCTCCATCGGGACCAATGGCAACAACAACAACAAACCAAGAGTCATACCAAGACTATGGACTGACACCGCGAGTCAACTTCAAACCCAGTAACGAATATCTTAAGTCTGAAGTCCCATTTGATGATAGCACCCATTACAGAGATAAATTTGTTGAGCATCAGATTACGCCGAGAGAACCTAAAACTAAAGAGGCGTACAAGGCGCCATCAGCGCCGCTTGATTCCAGAACCACAACGAATTTAGCGTACGCTGGAGCATACCAGGCAAAGCAGGAGAGTTTTAGGCCAGATCGCAAGTACATCAAGCCAGAGGCTCCGTTAGAGAGTGACACAACCTCCAGGTCAGCTTTCCAGCCATGGTCTGTTGGGGAGAGGCAGCGACCCAAGCCGGACCAGTATGTTAAGCCGGAAGGTCTAATGGATCTAACTACAGTAAACAGGTACGTTTGTACATTTTCTCACACTTGTATTAACGCAAATCTGCTTGTCTTAAAAAAAATTAAGTAATGGGTCCTTTTTAAGTTAGTGGCGCATCAGGTGCTTGATATGGTGCACCATATGGTGCTTGAGCCACATTTTTATTCAGACAAATCGGTAATCAGCAGTGGATGATGTGGTAAACATCAGTCAAGCCAACCGATTTATTTTTCAGGACATTTTAATTACCCACGTTAAGCTTAGTGAACATGGGAGCCAAAAACTGTCTCGGTGCTGATTAGAACCCAAGTCCTCGGGGTGAGCACGCAAACGTCTAGCCATTTAGTCTGGCCATTGCGCTGCCGTAAACTCCTCGCATGGTGTGTGCGTCTATTTAAAGAATTTCGAAGATAAGTTTATTTGTTAATAAGTATACCGCATAATACCTATTATTTTCATCTGCACCTTCCAACTATAAATTGAAATCAGATGGCTATGTTCTGTAACTTTCCCTGGCACATTTGCCCCTGCAGTAACTTCTCCTTTGACTTGTACCCCTCCACTTCCTTCTTTTAGCTTCTATTGTGAGACACGCTCTATTACGGATACAACCAGTGCTATTCACTCAGTGCCGGACCGCAAGTAGACTAAAAATTGATGCTCGGAGTGACCCAGAGAAACGTTTCAGGTCAAAAGTAGAAGTTGTTTGTGATGATTTTAATGACAACGACGTTGAAATTGTATCCCCACTATTTTTTTTTTTTTTTAGTTTGTTAGCTCTCATGGTGCCAGTGATCAGTGGTGATTTAAACAGCTTATGAATTTTGTGGTTGCTTCTCACTCTCCATTCCCCGCTTTTTGCATCTTTTATAGGTCCAAAGATTCGTCGTAACACTCTATTTTCGAAAATCTGTAATAAGGTTTCGTCTCAATTAGTTGTTAGAATGGAGGACAGTTACAGTCAATTTTAATGAATGTTTATACCATATCTCAAGTCTAGGAAGAGGTGTCCCTTGGTCATAATCTAGCAGATTAGGGGATGCCTGTCTAGATAGGGAGCCGCCGTGGTGTAGCAGCTAGGGCGCTTGCCTGCGGATCCGGATAACGTGAGTTCAGGTCCTTAGCGGAGACGGACATTTTTTAAAGATGATCTTGGCTCCCAGGTCAACCAACTAGTACCAGGTAAAGTCCTGGGGAGTAAAGGCGGCCGTGTGAGGAAGTCATCACATCACCAACCGAGTACCGACTGGTCTAAACGTGTAGGTCTAGCCCTATATGCCCAATAGAACATAAAGGCATTGAAAAGGATCCTTTACTTTGTTTTACTTACTAAGTCTATAAATCTCATTTGATGCTCGTATGGACAAGTCTCAAGATTGTGAAGTGATTTGTTGCCACATTGTCTTACTTTAACGTTCTCTGACATCTATGAAAAGGAACACTTGATTAGCTCCATAGTCAGACCAGCAGCAGGAATAATTGGTGATGTTGACATCCTACACATTCCTAACATGCTGTAAGGCAATGTAAGCTGGCATGCTTTTACTTTCGCTTACCTCAGTGTGCGTCTGTGGCTTAGGCGTTGCGAACATGCTTAATAATGCCAGGGTACCAGGTTCGGTCCCAGCCACATGCGATTTGGCAGCAGACCGTCTTGCGTTGGTTCCGACAGTGGTATCCAGAGTCGATCGTTTAGACGGCAATGGTAAATTACTAAACGCAAAATTTTCCAGGAGAAAAACCTCAGTTGGCACGATTACAGTCTTCGCATTTATTAACCCAGCAAGGAAAATTTAATGACATCACAAGCTACAGTAGTGATTTCGTACCTAAACATATAGAAAACAGAATGGTACGTATTGTGAGATATTCTGAAATAATTCGTGTCTGATAGTTTTGATTAGTTCTTTAGTTGACTGTTAAACAGACAGACTTGCAGGTATGCAGGCAGGCAGGCAGGCAGACAGACAGAAAAACTGACTGACTGACTGACTTTCTACCCCACCAGGACATCATACAAGCGACAAACACCCGATGACACAAAGTGCCACCATGTGGATGAGGATCGCCGTGGAGAGGTCCCAGAAACCGCGTTCAGGCAATTGGCCATATTTATGGCCTGCCTATATTGCGGCCCCTGGCAAAAGCCAGGGTGGGGCTTCAAAAAACATAAAATTGTGTCCTTAAAAAGGACAAAACTGAATTATATAGCGAGACAGAAAGACAGAAGGACGGACGGTTTGTAGATTGAGGAGTTGGTGGGTTGGTAATTGGTTCTTTGATTAGGTGGTTGGTTGTTTAGGGAGTTAATTGGTTGGTTGGCTGTTTAGTTGGTTGGCTTTTCGGGAAGCTAGCTGGTTGGTTGTTTAGTAGGCTAGTTTGTTGGTTGATTGGTTGGATGGCGGCTAATTTGGTGGTTGCTTAGTTGTTTGGTTGATTAGAAAGCTAAACTGGCTGGTTGGTTTTTTAGTTGGTTGGTTGGTACGCTGGTTGGTTGGTACGCTGGTTGGTTGGTTGGTTGGTACGCTGGTTGGTTGGTTGGTTGGTCGGGGGGCTAGATGGTTGGTTGGTGGGAAGCTAGTTGGTTGGTTGCTTGCTTGTTTAGTTGGGTGGTTGGTGGGAAGCTGGTTGGCTGGCTGGTTGCTTGTTTAGTTTTTGTTGGTTGGTTGATTTGAATTAGGGAGTTGGTTAGTTGGTGGGTTGGTAAGGTAGTCAGCTGATAGATTGATTGGTTAGTTACTCGGTTAGTTAAATAAGTTAGTTAGTTACGTTTGTTGATTTGTTGGTTACTCCTTCAACAGATCATCCTCACTGTTCTTGGAACCATTCAATGCACACTGTGTGGCGATTTACAGTCTTCATTAGGTCTATATTGTTTACCATTCTTCGCTGGCCTCCTGCTTTTCTGTTCTGTCTGGCGTCACCTCACCTTCTTTTGAGTTGATACTACCCTTCAGTCTAATTTGGAGATTCAGTGTTGTTTGATTCGTGTAGTCACTCTGGCGTTTATCAACTCTTCCTATTACTAGT